TCAGTTAAGATCGACGAAAATCACTATTGATTTTGCCCGAATTGAAATGATCGATCAGCTGCGGATGCGGAGCCCTGATGAATTTTTCATGTGTATTCTACAATCCGCAGTTCGCGTCGCCTCGGTTTAGTTAAAATTTACATCCGCAGCTATAATTAGCATACGTCTCGTGCGATTCTATACTTGGTAATTGACACGTACACCGTGCATATTTATACTATTTTCCGCAATGAAACTGCACTGTATTGACCTATTTCATAGAAAATTGTACTTTGGTTTTTAAATAGAAAATAATATTAGTTATAGATTTTTTTTGGGAATTATTTCAATTTTTGCTTCCTTCTGTTCGGATTCAATATTTGAAAAATTCAAATCAAATTATTTTTTATTAAGCAAAATAAAAATGAATTCTATAAAATGAGTACACACATAGTGTGCTGTTTATTTGTATAAAGTTTTAAAGTCTTCGATTAGTCCGCTTTCAAATAGTGCGGGATGTTAGCGGAACAGATTATTACTGTATTTAGCTCCTCGTTTAGTCCAGTTTCAAACTCTCCGGGATATTCGCAATAGTGATTACCCGGACTATGCGAGTTATTGTTATAATTAACTATATTATTTAACAAAATTTATATATAAAGAAGTTTTCATATAATTTTCAGTACAAATTAAATATCAACTAATATATTTTTCACATTATTTGTATCCAAATTGATAAAAAATCAATTTATAAAAAATAATGTAATTAAAAGTTCTGAATAATTTTATAATAAACATGAATATTTATAGTAATAATATTTTTTTAATGAAATAGTTTGTGCGTATGCGGACGACATTTAATTTTCCATGTGGATTATGTAAAGAGTTACATTTGAATAAATGCATATGCATGCCATTATAAATTTGACTGTAATTGCATCTCTATACGTATATAAAGTTTGTATTATTTTTTTGCTAACTGAAATATAATTTGTGCCAGAAGAGAAGGGCCGAAATGTGGTATGATGATGCCCTAAGAATGTAACGAACTCTCCTCCCCATTAGTATCAGCCCTTCAACAGCGCGAAACGCGATACACACCCTTACGGAACGGCCAACATTTACTTCTTCATTTTTTTAATAATGTAAATATAGTAGAATACATTTTCGGATTGAATTACTCGGCTCCTTTATATACGGAATAAATCAACATTTCCCCTCAGAAAGATATGCCCCGGTGCATCTAAAAATAGGTTTATATTTTAGGGCGGAAAGGTGTTTTTTTTTTGCTTCTTCGTCTTCTCTTCGTTTATTTGCAAAGTTATATCAATATCGTTTTGCGGTTTCCGATAAATCCGAATGTTATTTATAAATCAGAATATCAGTTCACGTCAGCAAAGTCAATATTATTTGAATTAATTTTAAGTCGCTATAAACATTCTTGATGTATTTATATAATTATTATGTTTCCCCTTGATTAAATTCATAGACAAATATTAATAAGTGTTTTTTAGTAGAGTTTACAGTTTCGATCAGTCCGAATTCTCAGTTTGAAACAACTTTATACAGTCAAGTTTCTTTTTGTATATATTTAGTTCCTCAATTAGTCCGGTTTCAAACAGTCCGGGATATGATACAGATACATTGATATATATAAAATTTAGTTAATAAGTTTTAGAAATTTTACAAGTAAGAAGAAAATTTCAGGTTTTTATTTTTCTAATTATTAACTTTTTAATCGTAATATAGATGTTAATCAATACAAAAACTTTGAATAATGATTATTTGTAAATAAGCCATGTATACTTAGTCGTAAACATACACAATTTGGTGTTTCAAGTACTTGGCGAGTATCGCGTTTATTCATAATTATTTGAATGTATTACTTTTATGTCGCTATGAAGTAAAAATTTATATTATTATTTTTCCCCTTGGTTAAGTTCATAGACAAATACTAAGTGTTTTTAGTACAGTAATACCTCACATAGTTCGGCTTCGATCATTAAGAATTCACTGTTTGATACAACTTTCTACAGTCAAGTTTATCTTCATTATGTTGTATTATTTATTTTTCAATCTTAAGAATGTAAAACTTTGGAACTAATAATGATTTTAATCAATGGATAATGATGGATTTAAATATATTTCAAATAGAAAAGTACAAATTTTATGAAATTGTATTTAAATTGTTGAAAAAAAAAACTTTGAATAATGATTTGTCATATTTACTTTTATAGTCGTAAAAATATAAATTTGGCTTTTCAAGTACTTGACAAATATGTTTATTCATAATCATGTGTTTGGTAGTAATTTGACAGATAATAACTCAAAAGTGAAAAAGTTAAATGCAAGATTTATCTTACAGATTGATGTTGAATAGAAAACGTAAAGTGATTTACAATGCATCAGATAATAAAATAATGTGTTTGGAATTTCGCTTGCTTGGATGCACATTTCCATAGGAAATTTAAATTTGAAATGCGACCAGAGGGTAAAATTTACGGAGAGACTGCGATATATAAATAAATTTCATTTACCACCGTTCTCTTTCCATTACTCTCCAAGCCTCGGTGACTCTTGATTTGCGCGGCTGAATTGTTGCTCACCGGAGGATTAACGAGAACTATGCAAAATCCATGTTCCATACCGAGCGCAAAAATACCGGATAATAATCATCGTCGTAATGATCGTCGATCGATGCCACCGAAATAATTGTTATGCAAATTATACACGTATTCATGAGCGCTTTTATTTATTAGCAGCATGAATTAACAGCATTGCCAATAAAAAAAAATATGAAATTCCGCCAATAATTTCATTATCTCACATATGTGCAGATTTGCAATTCAATATTTATACTCTTCAATTTGCGTGCGTTGAACGAACGTTATTAAAAAAAAATGGACTAAAAAGATTGTAATAAATTCTCGAGTATAATACGCATAATACAATACAAAAATCGTTTTATTATTTATATAATTCGACTGTATTATCCACAATTTATACTCACTTCAGCACACAAAACTGAAGGTTGCGTATTATATTCGAGTGACAATGATCAAAAGTGTTATTTAAGTTTTGTAAACTACTGATTTTAATATCATTGTTTCGAATATAATACGCACATTTTTTAGTAATTTCTCACAAAACTGGAGAATGCGTATTATACTCGAATACAACAAGAATATCATTTTCTTTGTTGGACAAATGCATTGACATTTGAGTTAATTGAGTTAGTACACTCACTTTAGTTCACAAAAATGGGGATGCGTATTATACTCGAGTGACTATTATTAAAAGTGATATTTCAAAACATTATAGTTTTTTTTTATTAAAAGATTAAGTTTTGTATACTGTCGACATTTGTACCTTAAAATCTCGAGTATAATACGCACAAGTTATGCTCATTTTTGTTCACAAAATAAATAGATTACGTATTGTATTCGAATAAAAAAAATATTATTTTTGATATTGAAAAAAAATATCATATACATTCGACTATATTAAACACAATTTATACTCACGTTAGCACCCAAAAATGAAGTTTGTGTATTATATTGACAATGACAATGATTAAAAGAGATATTTTACATTATGTTATGTTAAAAGTTTAAGTTTTGTAAACTTATACCATAGTTTCGAATATAATACTCACAATTTTTAATAATTTATCTCAAAACAGAAGGTTGCGTATTATACTTGAATACAACAAGAATATCATTTTCTATGTTGGACAAATGCATTGACATTTGAGTTAATTGCCCATAACTTACACTTACTTTAGATCACAAAAATGGAGATTGCGTATTATATTCGAATCACTATTATTGAAAGTGATATTTCAAAACATTAACGTTTTTCCAATATTAGGAATAATCACAATGCTTAAGTAAAAAATTACACTAAAAATTTTAAAAAAATTTGGTGCGTATTATATACGAATTTGATTTTTTTCGCGTTAAATCAATCAATTAATCAATTGCGACACGAGCTGTACACGAGTGCGCAAAATTCCCCAAGGTAATTTACAGTTGAAACTGTATGTTTCTGGTAAAAAAATGTTGGGTTGGGAGCAGATGTAACTGAAACCCATCTCAATGTCTAAGCTGCGATTACAATTAAGACACAGCACCACCCCTATTACGAAATCGAGTTTGTAACGATTTGAATTGCTGATGGATAAATGGCGTTATTAATTTCGATTGGGACCTAATCTCGGGTTTACGGGATGACGACGATCATTCATCAATCATCCGCTTCGCGGGGGAAGTAAAAAAATGTGTGTACTTAAGAGTGAGTGAGAGAGAGAGAGAGAAGTTGAGGAAAAGTGCTCGAGGCCTCTTGTAGTTGGGGCTATTGAATTATACAACTCAATTCGACGCCCTTTCTATCTTCATCCTTACATCATCCCCTCGCAGGGATAGGCATCGTTTTAATTCAAATGTGAGGGCTCTAAGGAAGACATAAGGGTAATTGGGAAAATGGAATCGACATTAATTAGAATCCGCACCGCGAGTTTCATGCCCCGCAACTATCTATCCTCAAATCGAATATTGCTGCTTCTCAACTGACTATCCCTATACTCGATCCAGTAAACTAATATGCTATATTCCTGAATTCTTCTTCGCTTCGATACTTTAAACTCGTAGCCTGCATTCTACCAACAGAAATTTCCCAATCAGCTGAAGCTCTCGGGCAATCTGCATAATTTTTATTCCGCGTAAATTGGCTGGGACGGACTTTGGGGGCGAGCGTAGGGATTAAGAGGTTGCCGATGTTGAATATGCATGAGGCGGCCGGTGAACTTGCACGAGGGTTGGACACAGCACATCCCCCCATTCGCCATCCAGACCACTCGACTTTGAAGTGCTTTTAATTAACTCGATTTCTTCTGCACGTTTTCCCCTAGCACGAAGACACTAAAAATAAACGAAATCACTGTTTTCATTTATTTCCACCTGCGTATGGATGTCGAAGTAATATTGATGTTGGTAATTAATTTTTTGCGTTTTGTTTTGCAGGAATTCGCCACCCTTACGAAGGAATTGAACGGCGCCAGGGAGCAGCTTCTCGAACGGGAAGAAGAAATTTCCGAACTGAAAGCAGAGAGAAACAACACAAGAGTGAGTATTTACTTTTTTTTTAAATATTTTGTAATTTAAACATTTTCATTCGAATATAAATCTGATACATGGTAAACCACAGCCATAAGTACTTACATTTCAAGAAGTACTTGACAATTACTTGTATACGCACAATACAATTTAGTTGTTATTTTATAATGAAATAATTACAGCAATATACGTATTTAGCATCGTAGTCATATAAAAAAAAACTATTTGAGATAGAGTTGCTAAAGGAATTAATTTCAACATTTGAAATTGTCATCGTCACATTTTCATAACATGAAATATTCTAAAAACGGCTCTTTACTCTGAATTATAGATCTTTTTGTGCGTTTTTAAATTTCTCGACTAATCCAGTTTCAAACTTTCTGGGACATTGACGGGACATATTTATAATTAAATCTTGATTACCATTGATTTCATTTAAAATAGTTTATTTTACGTTTAAATACAACAGCGAATAAACCACTCCAAAAACATGAAGAGTAAAGTAAATATTACAGCTCGTGCTTAATTCAATTATGAACTAAAAGTTTACAATGTGAATAGTTGTTGATGAGTTTATATGTCGGAAGAGTATTACTATCTTTAATTACTTAAATTGGCGTCAAAATTGAAACCGATGAAGCTTCCTGCATATAGGAGTGCGCAGATTAGACTAGACATTCAGAGTGTGGACAATTCGGTGGTGGAAGTGGTGGTGGTCCGGGGTGAGCACAACATTTAATTTAATTAATTGAAAGGGGGCGTATGGACACTGGAAAAGGGCATTTCGTTCCGGCGTTAATTAACGTTGAAACACAGTTGTGTTTTTCCTTTGTCCCTTTTTCTGCGGCGCATAAAAAATGGGACGAATGCTTCTAAAACACTTTTTTCCTCTTTCGATTCTGGTTTATATTTTATGTATGATGTATATTAATTTGCATTACATATTCGTTTCCTGATTTTCCCTTCATGTTGCATATTCGGGTTTGAATTGGACGCAAGCCATAAGACCCTTTTATTTTCATTTCAACGTCTATAAATTATGTGAATTAGCTTCGACCGAATAGGCTGTTCGGAAATAGACGATTCTATTTTCATAAGTATGAGGATTATTCGAGCAATAATCCTAGTAATAGTTCCTGTATTTTATACAGCTGACTCAGCTGTCATTTACAACGCCATCTGTTTTATAGTTTTGAACTATATTGAATTATATATTAAGTGCTAAATTTGGAAAGTTGGGACTGTTAAAATTGTATAACTTATTGAAGCTGTTAGGATAATAGAAGAAGTGTTATTAATAACTGAACTATTTACATTTATTAAGAGGTTATATTTCTAATTGGCTAGTCTTTCGATTGTCTACTTAGAGATATTTTATGTCAAATTAACATGTTTGACAGTTTAGAAAAGTTAAGTGTTATATGTTAAGATGTCAAAGTTCTGGTTGAAAGCCAATTAGAAATAAAACCTCTTAACAATTATAATGATTGATTTAAAATATGTCAAATGTAGAGGAAAAGAAGGAATCATAATAAATACGATTGTAAGAAAATCCATAATGCATAAGAATAAAAAAGAAATGTAAATCGGCTCGAAGCTTAATTAATTTCGCCATCAGAGAGGAGCTTTGAGCGTAATGGATACGTTAATATTTTTGTCGGTTAGACGAAATTAAATGTCAGAGGTCGAGCGCACCAAAGGGGATAATTGAAAACGAAACGAGAAGTTTTCGCTTTAAGTTTGTCTTTGAGCAAGAAATGCGACGTGTTCGGGTCCGCAAATTAATTACCTAAAGAGGAACAAGAAGGGAAAGAAGTCCCTGTGCAAATATTTAGTTTCCTTTTGGTAACACTTACATCTGAGCTCATAATTGTATTTAAATTGTACACACATTTTTATTTCTGTTATTTCTTCCTGTGTTTTTTAATGGTCAGTATTATGCTAATTTAATTGTGAAACAAAATTTATATTATTATTTATTTTCTCATTTCGTTATATAATCTTAGTTATTACAATTATGTAGAATTGATCACATTAACGTACATAATTCGTTCAAATTTTTTTGCCCAAATTATTTGTTAACCGAATATCAATTTCGCAGTTCGAACTATTTTTTAACCAGTATTTTAATTTTCCATTCAACATTGATCAAATGAGTTGGGCGATCGGTTAACGAACATAATCAGTTCAAATTCGCTACTAAAATTTTTCGTTAACTGAATATCAATTTCGCAGTTCGAACTATTCATTAACTGATCACCCACTGTATTTTAATTTTCCATTCAACATTGATCAAATGAGTGAACGATCGGTTAACAAACATAATCAGTTCAAATTCGCTACCCAAATTGTTCGTTAACCGAATATCAATTGCGCAGTTCGAACTATTCGTTAACCTATCACCCACTGTATTTCAATTTTCCATTCAACATTGATCAAATGAGTGGGCAATCGGTTAACAAACATAATCAGTTCAAATTCGCTACCCAAATTGTTCGTTAACCGAATATCAATTTAACAAGCAGCTTAAGCTTCATACAACCACTAGCATTAGCTTTTAAAAGTAAAGTCACATGCTATATTTTAATTGTCCCTTGAAAAGTTTGGATTAATTTCATAGTTTCGCTTTAAAATTGTATTTTTTTATAAGAATTTAAAGTATTTTATTAAAATACAAAATAACTTTTAAATTATATAAGAATGTTGTACTTATATACCAAAAATATGCTTGAAATCATACAAATTGTTTAGTTGGAAATCTACAAAAGCTTAACAACTCAACGAGTAAATCGAATATATGAATAAATTGCAAATATTGTAAAACTGCCGATATTTTAAACCTATACCATGTCAACAATTTTTTAATCAGTACGCAAATAAAAAATAATTACAAAATGTAAATAATAATATATTGCATGATTGAACATATATGTTTTTATATATATTGCAATTGCAAATATACAAATTTGGTACGATTGCGGCTATGATGTAGTAAATGCACAGCTGCAATATTTACAAATACACATGCGTTACATTGTGTTTGATTATCGACGAATAATTATGATGAACGGTTTTGTATTTGTTCTGCATGTGCTCGTTCATATTTTTTTTTTTTTGCAAATGTTTGTTTTACAAATACGTTCATTTTTCTCTGTTTGTCATCATTATTAATAGTTATTTCTATTCGCACTTTTTAATTATCCGTTTGACGTGCACGTGTTTTAAACAGTTGGGTTTTAAAGAACTTTATTTCTAGTTGGACATGTTATTGATGACTAGACAATACATTCGTATATAACGATTAAATCTGATATTCTATTTTTATAAAGTATTTTTTTTACTAAAATCCGTTTTCTAAAATAGTCAAATGCTGTAAAAAAAATGGGACGTTTCTTTTTATACCATTCACAAAAATAAAGTTATGAGTTAAAACTTTCTTAGGTTTTTTAGTTAACTTAGTTTTCTGCATTTTTTTGTAATAGTATTTACTTCATTGTAGATCAATATAGTAATTATTATTTCTTGAAAATTCCTTTTTTGTTGTTGATATAGACTGATTTAATCCTAAAAGTGACTTAAGTTAATTAGATTTATTTGTAGTTGAATTCTGAAACTGATAATGTGCATATTTTTAATTATTTCTACTGGTTTTATGTAATGTGACCATTTATATTTTTCTATTTTACTAATGAAAATACAAAAAAATAAACACTTGAAAATAAATAATTTATTTGGTCTCATATTTTTCCGTAGAACAAATTTGCTTATGTATATTTGCAGTTGATTTGAAATGCGAATGAAATTCTTGGCATGATTTCTGAAAATTTACTTTCGCAAGTAACATGGATTTTGTACTAGGACTTTCAGTTGTGTTTTTTCGCTTATCCACAACTTTCTATGGGTACATTTGTGTTGTTGTATCTTGTTTAGAATCAATAAATCCTTCTTCTCATATAGATAATATATTTAAATTTGCCCATTCAAGTATTCTACAAAATCTACTACTCTTTCTAAAAATGGGATATTTTGGCGTCCCGAAGCTATGCTTGGGGACAACGGGGCAACAGTCACTTTAGTTCTACTTCTTTTTGGGTATTATGATAGAAAACTAATAGTATCAAAAGATCTAAATATGTTTTTGGTTTTTATTCCAAAATTGTTCAAAATTCGAATTCATGTTTTTTTTTATAAGAATGAAGCATAAAATCGTATGAAAACAATGAAAATACAAAACAATATGATAATATTAACTTCATTTGTAGTAATAACAACAAGATTTTACAAAATGAAGAAGAAATAAATGAATTACAGAAAAAATATAATTGTACTCAAATTTTCTGTTACATAAATCAGACTAAACAAATATTTATATCATAATAAAAGCATTTCTTGGATGAAAATCATTGTTTGAGTAAATATTTTACCACTAAAAAGAACGTAATGTATGTTTCTAATACAGTTCGAGAAAGGCTTTATGAAAATCGAGGAATCAATAAGTTTATTTTAGTTTGGAATTATTTGTTAACTCAGGTGTTTGAGAACCGAAATTCCACTGAAGATATAAATTTATAAAATTGATACAAAAAAATGAAGGGTTTGTGATGACTTGTAAAACTGTATGAATAAAATTGTTCTAATATTTTGATTGAGAATCGAAATTGAAACAAATATAAATGAAAATTGAATCGGGTGCAGTTGATTTTCACGCCATAACAAAATGAAATCGTTCATATATCAAACAATGCCAATGCTTGGAAACATCATGACGTCCAATTTTAATTCGTGATTAAATTGTGTCCATGATTTATATTTTGAAATTATTTCGCAGCGGCATAATGGAAACGTATACAAAAATATAAAAATTAAAGTAATGCTTGTCTGCTGCAGCGCGAAAAAACATGTGTGCAGGACAAAATAAAAACAGCAACAACGGACAGAAAGAGTATGAAAAATTCTCTTTTTTTTCAGTTTTGTTTTGAATGACGACGAGTCGCCGTCCTCTCCCACCC